TACACACGGTCGTGCATACATGTCAATGCCACCCTCTCAATTTGCATTACATGGCTTTTCACATCTTGTTTTCTTTCTAAGTTTCTCTCTACCTCCTTACAGTTCTCATATATGTTGCATACTGAATACGTGTAAGCAGAGATTTGCATATTATAATCAAGAATTATGTACTGTTTTGTGTTCTACATTTTCTCCTTTGATTTTAGTATTTTCTTGTGCGGGTCATAGTTATTAATGGCTCCTAGAATTGTAGCATACTGAGATCGTCATTTGTGTAATCTTATCCTAGTGTTAGACATCAAGGATGCGCCTCGGTGCTCCTATTTGATAGTGCTGTTTTATAAAACTGTTCTTTAGAGCTTGTTTTCTTTGTTTAAATTGTTCACCATTTTGCAAATATTTCCATTCAGGATGGCTGGGTCTGAAGTGTTTATTTTGTGTGTGTGTGCGGACTTTGCCCTTTGCCAGAGCTAAAAGCTCATGATGACTGGGCAGTATTCTAGAGCCTCTTCAGTTTTCAATCTACTCATTAACAGGGCAGCATGTTTTGCTGTTGCTGCTGGGGCCAGTGGTACTTTTCACTGTGTATTTGTGGGCCTGCCTAACAGAACAGTCTCTTATGAAATGGCTTGCAGTATTGTAACAAAGTTACAACCCTAGAAATTTGGCATCAAACTCATTTTGCCTCTTACAGGAGGCTTCCAGACAAAAGGTCACCTTTGCCTCCCAGGATGCTGGACTTATACTTGATGCCGGGAAGGATTGAAGGCAAAAGGAGAAGGGGCAGAGGGTGAGATGCTTAGATAGCATCACTGACTCGATGGAGGTGAATCTGAGTGAACTCTAGGAGATGGTGAAGGCCAGAGGAGCCTGGTGTGCTGCGGTCCATGCGATCGATCAAGAAGGGTTGGACACAACCTAGTGACTGAACAACAACAAATCCTGAGGCTCTCAGGAAGATGAAATAAATGCCTAGAGACATTTTTGTTTCTCACAACTGAGAGTGGAAGTGTTACTATTGAGAGCTAGTTGGTAGAGTCCAGTGATGTTATTATACCTTCTATGATGCATAGAATTGCCTCCCCCAACAAAGACTTATCTGGACTGAAATATAAATAGCGCTAAATTTAGGGAACCCTACTCTAAACTGATTAAGAAATTTTGAAAAAGAACATGAATTGCCAGTACTGTCAGTGATGAGTGAGGGAACACTACTATAGGTCCCACAGACATTTAAAGGATGAGAAAATATAGTTGACTTTGTGCAATAAATTCTACAACATAGATGAAATGGAAAAAAAAAATCCCTCTAATGACCTAAATAAATAACCAGATGTGTCTGACTCTGCAACTGCATGGGCTGTAGCCTGCCAGGCTTCTCTGTCCATGGAATTCTCCAGGAGAATACTGGAGTGGGTTGCCATTCCCTTCTCCAGGGGATCTTCCAGACCCAGGGGTCAAACCTGCATTGCAAAGTCTCCTGCCTTGCAGGCAGATTCTTTACTGTCTGAGCCACCAAGGAAGACCCAATTAAATAAATAAAAGTTGCCCCGTGATCAGAAAAGGCATATATTTACAAAGGAAGCTGAATTTGTAGTTAAAACATTTCCACAGAGAAATTTAATTGCAAGTAAAAATATTTCCGAGTCCCAGACGGCTTCACTGTTGAAATCAACAAACACTTGATGAAGAAACATCAATTCTCTTAAGAAAACAGGGGAGGAGGAAACTCTTTCCCAATTTGTATTTTCTGAACATAAATATTAAATCAAAACAGATAAAAACTTTACTAGAAAATAAGAATATAGATCAATATACATCAATCATTTGCAAACATAGGTGCAAAAAATACTTTAAAATAACAGAAAATTCATCCAACAATATATAAAAATAATACCTTATGAATAACTGGGGTTTATCCTGAAAATATACTATTCATTTGGCATTCAAAAATAAATATTTAAAGTTCAACATGTCAACAAGAAAAAAATCATATAATTATCCCAATAGATGTATTGGCTGACAAATATCAACATTAATTTATGATTTAAAAAAAAAACTCTTAACAAGCAACTTTTTCAACATGACAAAGGCTATTGATGAAAAATTAACAGCTAAGCTTAAGTAAGAAAATAAATACTTTTCCCTAATATCAAGAAGAATGCTCATATAGCACCTCCTATAAAATATTTTCCTGCAAGTTCTAAGTGGTACAATAAGACAAGAAAAGGAATAAAACACATACAGATGGAAGACACAAAATTATTTTCATTTGCAAAAAAAAAAAATTTGATCACATATATAGAAAGTTTTAATTGCAAAAATACACAACTACTAAAGGTAATTGTGGGAAAGATTAGTTTTCATTCCAATGCCAAAGAAGGGCAATGCCAAAGAATTCTCAAACCGCCAAAGATTGTACAATCGCACTCATTTCACATGCTGGAAGGTAATGCTCAAAATCCTTTAAGCCAGGCTTCAGCAGTACATGAACCCGGAGTTTCCAGATGTGCAAGCTGGGTTTAGAAAAGGCAGAGGAACCAGTGTCAAATTGCCAACACTGGCAGAATCATAGATAAAGCTAGGAAATTCCAGAAAAACATCCACTTCTGCTTCATTGATCATGCTAAAGTCTTTGAGTGTGTGGATCAAAACAAACTGTGAAAAGCACTTAAAGAGACGGGAATGCCAGACGGCCTTACTTGTCTCCTGAGAAACGGGCGTGGGAGTTAAGAAGCAACAGTCAGAACTGGAAACGGAGCCGCTGACTGGCTCGGAATCGGGAAAGGAGACCATCAAGGCTGTCTGTTGTCATCTCGCTCAGTTAACTTCTGTGCGCAGCAGATCATGCAAAATGCCAGGCTAGATGAATCACAAGCTGGAGTCAAGATTTCTGGGAGAAATATCAATAACCTCAGATAGGCAGATGACATCAATTTAATGGAAGAAAGCAAAGAGAAACGAAAGAGCTGCTGGATGAGGATGAAAGAGGAGAGTGAAAAAGCTGGCTTAAAACTCAGCATTTAAATGATGACGATCATGACATCTGGTGCCATCACTTCATGGCGTGAATAAGGGGAAAAAGTAAAAGCACTGACAGACTTTCTTTTCTTGGGCTCCAAAATCACTGCAGGTGGTGACCACAGCTATGAAATTAAAAGACACTTGCTCCTTAGAAGAAAAGCTATAACAAACTCAGAGAGCATGTTAAAAAAGCAGAGACATTTCTTTGCCAACAAAGGTCCATACAGTCAGAGCTGTGGCTTTTCCTGTAGTCCTGTATGGATGTGAGAGTTGGACCATAAAAGAAGGCTAAGCAACGAAGAACTGATGCTTTTGAGTTGTGGTGCTGAAAAAGACTCTTGAGAGTCCCTTAGACTGCAAGATCAAACTAGTCAATCCTAAAGGAAATCAACGCTGAATATTCACTGGAAGGACTGATGCTAAAGCTAAAGCTCCAATACTTTGGCCACCTGATGGGAAGAGCTGACTCCCTGGAGAAGACCCTGATGCTGGGAAAGATTGAGGGCAGGAGGAGAAGGGGACGACAGGATGAGATGGTTGGATGGCATCACCGACTCAATGGACATGGGTTTCGGTAAACTCTGGGAGATAGTGAAGGACAGGGAAGCCTGGCGTGCTGCAGTCTATGTGGTAACTAAGAGTGGGACATGACTTAGCAACTGAACAACAACACTAAAAGTAATCAGTTAACTCAATAAGTTCTCACTACATAAAGACAATATAGAAAAACTGCACTTCTATAAACAAGCAACAAAATTTTTAAAAACTTCTAAATATAACATAATTTACAGTTATATATTTATTTATGTGCTAAGTCACTTTAGTTGTGTCCCACTCTTTGTAACCCTATAGCTTGCCAAGCTTCTCTGTCCGTGGGACTTCCCAGGCAAGAATATTGGAGCGAGTTGCCATTTCCTCCTCCAGGGGATCTTCCCGACCCAGGAATCTGCCTGGTGTCTCTCAGTTTTCCTGAATTGGCAGGTGGGTTCTTTACCACTAGTACCACCTGAGAAATCTCATATTTATTTGTAATGACATCCGAAGAAGAGAATGAATGGGGATAAGCTTAACAGAAGATAGCCAAAAACTAAAGTACTTTGCTAAAAAATTTAAAGAAGACCTAAAATAATGGAGAGATACATCACATTCATAGACTAAAATATTCAATATTTTTCAGATATTACTTCTTATACAACTAAGCTACAGATTCACTGCAATCTCAACATAAATGTCAGAAAGATTTTAATAAAAATTCACAAGATTATTACAAAATTTAAATAGAAATGCAAAAAACCTAAGCAAAAAGCATCTAAAAGGTTGGTGGACTCACACTATCAGATTTGAAGACTTACTATAAAGCCACATTATACTCAAAAACAGTAGTAAAAAAAAAATCATAAGAATAGATATATAGGTCAACTAAACTAACAGAAACTTGAAAGTTGCACCCATACATATAAACTCAATTGCTTTTCAACAATTACATCAAAGCAACTCAACAGAGAAAGGAAAGTCCTTTCAATAACTAGTAATTAAATAACTGCTTTCTATTTCAGGAGATAGCTAAAGACAGGGAAGCCTGGTGTGCTGCAGTCCATAGGTTTGCAAAGAGTTGGCACATGACTTAGCAACTGATTAACAACAACAAATCTACCCTAGGGAAAAGAATATCAACTCTTACATCACACCACCTACAAAAAGTTAACTTGAAATTTCCGTAGACCCAAATATAGGGACTAAACCTATAAGACTTCTGAAAGAAAATATAAGAAGAAATTTTTGTGATTGTAGAACAGCAAGACATGGAAACAATCTAAATATCTTTCCTTTTCCCAAGGCAGTTATTCTAGGCAAATTTATCTTCCCTGTTACCTTCTGAAACTCAGGTAAAGGTATGTGAATCTTTTCCTATTGGTTCAGCATCTTCTCATTCCTGGCTATTTCTTGGTCCTCACTAGGCTAAGGTACCTGCCAAGATGCTCCACTTACAAGGCCTACAGATGCTGCAGATGCTAGAAAAATCCTTGAGGAAGAGCATCCCTGAATCCTTAAAGGTGAGCATGGGACATCCTTAGGGAAGCAAAGGGTTGCATTCCTAGGGAACTAAAGAGGTCAGTAAGAGAATGAGCTCTTACCGAGTGCTTGTTCTGTGGTAAGAACTCACTCACACCACATCTCACGTAGTTCACACCATCTCTTGGCAAGGGAAGTGTATCATACTCATGCCCCGGAAGAGGGAAGAGTTCTCTGTTGTCCAATAATTTTAAGTTACAAAAACACTATCCTCTGAAGACTCAAAAAAACATTTCCTTGATTTCTCTTTAAAAGGTTGATCTAAGTACATACTAATTTTTAAAGATTTGCGCCTGAGGTGAAGTTAACCACTGTGTATCTTCTTGGAACATTTAACAGATCAAATCTTATTTCTTTGAAATCCAAGTGTGCATGGAAGAGATCTAGAGAATTATCTACTATTCATTACTTTAAGGCAATATTTACTACAGAACGGCTGGATTTATGCAGATTTATTTATATTTTCACTTTTAACATTCGGAGGATTGATGAAAGGAGGAAAATGCTTTTCCTTTCATTTTTGCTTCTTCGTTTTTGTCTGCGTGACTTGTCAGATGCCAGTTCCCTGACCAGGGATTGAATCCAGGTCCTCGACAGAGAAGGCGTGAGTTCTGACTGTGGACCACCAGGGGATTCCCTGAACTGCTTTATAAGAGCTCCTTTCACATCCAGAGACAGACGCCTAATCACAGAGCCGCGGCCAGCGCCAGCAGGGCCTCGAGGCGGGACAGTGGCAGCGTGGCCGTCAGCGGCGGCGGAAAGCAGCCTTCAAGTCACCGCAGCTGCTCGACTTGATCTGTGGACGCATGTCAGCCTCAAAACTCCCGCATGAGGAGGGGTCACTGTTCTCCCTGTGCTGTGGAAGATGCATCTGAGGCCAGGAAAACTTAGTAACTTGCCCACCTGATTACTCCTGGGGCCAGAAATATAACCCATTTATTCTGTTTCAACTCTCCAGAGCCTACCTGCGTGTTTTGAGCAAAACAGCCCCTCAACTTCAGATCCTGTTAAGAGAATAAACTGGATCTCTCCTACATCACTGCTGGGAATGTGAGATGGTACAGCCCCTCTTAAAAGGCCATTTGTAAGTGTCTAACTAATCGTGCAACCAGCGCTCAACCAGCGATGACAATCTTGAGCATTTGCCCTAGAGAAATGCAAGTTTATGTTCACACAAAACTATGTGCCCTAATGTCTATAACAACCTTATCCATGATAGTCAAAAGCTGGAAACAACTCACATGCTCCCCCGTAGATGAGTGGCTAAATGAACTGTGGTACATCTATACTATGGGATACTACTAAATGATAAAGAAGAAATGACCTAGGGATACCTGCAACGATTTGGATGAATCCCCAGAAAATTATGCTGAGTGAAAGAAGCCAGACCCAAAGGGTTCCACACTATTTAAGTCCATTTATATAAAGTCTTTGGAATAACCAAGTACAGAAACAGAACACACTGATGGTTGCGGGAGGTGGAAGAGGAGGTGGGCAATGGGAAGGTCGTGGGTGAGACCGTAAAAGAGTCTCGGGAGCCATCCTCACGATAAGGGAGGCATTCTGCATCTGGACTGTATCAGTGTCAAAAGCCTGCTGTGGTGTTTTTCCCAGGGTCCAGCAGGTCTGTGGGCTTCACCAAGCTCACACGGCCGGCAGCCAGGAGTTTACTCTGGGCAAGTGAACACCTGAAGCCAAGTGCTCACCGTTATGCTCACCTGCTTAGCAGCGCGCCTTGGACTCGGTCAATGAAACGCACGTTTCCGTTTCTATCTCAGTTTTGTCCAGAATGCGCTCCGCCATCCCGCCTCGGGGGCTACCGTGATGACAGCGACCTCTTGGTTCCACGGCTGGAAGGACAGCCTGCCTGCGTCCGTACCCGCCCCTTCCACCAGCAAGCTGTCTGCCCCCACGTCACTTAACTTACAGGCCTTGGTTTCCCCACACAGAATGGGAGCCATGAGGGGATGTCCTGGTGGCCCCAGGGGTTAGCACTTGGTACTCTCATTGCCTAGGGCCCGGGTTCCAACCGTGGGTGCCTGCCGTTGAAGCAAAGACCCCGCAGGCTACGTGGCCACAATAAAAGAGGAGGGGGAGTAACAGGACCTCCGGCCTCTCGGGGCTGCTGTCGGATGAGAAGACTTTCTGGGGAACAGGCAGAGCTGTGCCTTGCACACAGAGAAGCTATGCCAGTATTAGCCACTGTGGGTACAGAGCAGACCATAAATTTACAGTGGGGAGAACTGTGGCTGCATTGGTTTATCTCATTTGAGGCTGATACTTTGAAAGACTTGCATAATTTGGGATGAGTTGAATATCTTCACCTTCCTCAATCTTAACCATTTGTAAACCATCCTTTTACTCTGGGGTAAGCATTCTTCTATAGGTAGCCTAACTGGTTTTGTTTATATTTACTGTAAAGGGACCAAAGAGACAATTCTCCATGACCTTTAGTTACTATAGCATCCACTTATTTGTAGGAAATAGTTACCTTTACCAGAGGTTAATTTGAAAATATGTGTTAAAAAAAACCTTAAACATGTAGATAATTTAAACCCAGCAATCTCCCTTCTAAAACCTTCCCTAAGCAAATATCAGGTACAAATGCAAAGATTTCAGCAAAAAGATACTCTCTGAAGAGTACTTTTTTACGTCAAAAAGTTGGAAACACCTGGAGTGGAGTGTTTCTGACATTCTCCAGTTTGGGGAGATTTGTTATGTGTGCCTGGAGAATCTCATGGACAGAGGAACCTGGTGGGCTACAGTTCATGGGGTCACAAGAGTCAGACATGACTGAAGGGACTTAGCACGTACACACATACATGAACAGATGAAGATCTATGAAAGATCTTATTAAATACTATGATGGGAGCTTTCATGATTTTTGTTCATAAATTTTGTTGGTTTGAATATCTTTTATGTGAATATTTTTAAAAGATATACTTATTGGGGGAAAACTTAGAATCTCACCAATGGTCTGCTGAAGTTCTCACTAGGTACCTTCCAGTGAAAAAATTCCATTATTTCATAAAAATAAACCTTGCCCTATGCAAACACGGCACTTTGCCATCTCTTCCTAATAAGATCATCCTCTCACTTTCTTGTAATACTGCAGGTTTATGGGACCATCTTCCACATAAACCAGGGAAACCCTTTCAAGCTAAAGGCTCTGGTGGACAAGTGGCCTGATTTTAATACTGTGGTTATCCGCCCTCAGGAGCAGGTAAGCGGCCAGATGTGGAATGAATATGTATTTGTGTTCATATTTGCTGTGTACTTACTATGCATTTGGCAATATGGTAGACCCTGGGAATACAGAAATAAATCAAGGTGATATAGTCAACATGTCCTTATCTTCAAAAAGTCCACAGCCTGGAGGAGATTATGGGTAAATCCAAAGGTAAATGACAGCATGGTGTGAAATGGTTAGTTGCTCAGTCATGTCTGACTCTTTGCGACCTCGTGGACTGTAGCCCGCCAGGCTTCTCTGTCCATGGAATTCTCCAGGCAAGAATACTGGAGTGGGCTGACATTCCCTTCTCCAGGGGATATTCCCAACCCAGGGATCTAACCCATGTTTCCTGCATTGCAGGCTGATTCTTTACTGTCTAAACCACTAGGGCCCCGTGGTGTGAAATGGGCAGAATCAAAACACAAACGGCATCCTGTCCCGCTTACCCCAAACACTTTGTCATTTCTCGCATCCAGTTTGTGGGAATAGAGGTAACCAGTGGGAGGCTGTGCTAATGTAGGATTATGCTGATGGCTTAGACAAGAGCTTCCTCTTTTATGAAAGGCATCAAAAGAGCACTTCCCAGGCTGGATTTCTACATGTAATAAATCAAGCCCATTTTAAACTCTTAACCTAAAGGGAAAAATATCTCATACCTTGTAAAAACACCCATTCTGAAACCACACCAGCTCATGTATACTAACTCAAAGCGTCTCACTGTGATGGTCTCTTCCCGCTGAGACGCTGCACCATGTTATAACCTATGGACATCAATTAAGCAAATAAAACCAGGCAGGGGAAAAAAAGCATGTGGCAGAGGCTGCTGGGAGAGGAATGATTCTTAGTAGAAATTTTACCGAAACTGGATGTTGAATGTAAATAGGAGTTTTTGCATGGTGGCAGAGCAGGACTTCATTCAAAGCAGTTGCAAGAGATAAAGTCTGAAACAAGAGAGTGAATTAAGGAAAATTAAGGAGTAAATTACATAGTTGGAACTGTTGGTTACATATTGTATGCTAATTTTTTAATTAGTGAAACGGAATAGTTACGTTTATTTAATAGTTAAGTTTATTCAAAAATAAAGTGTATAATTATATTTTTAAGTATCAAGTAAAATTTTAATATAAATATATTATCATTTAATATAACATATAGAAGTGAAATGGGTAAGAAATATTCAAGAAAACCAAATTAAATGACAATTTAAAATGAAGACTTTTAATCACTGATAGAAATCTGAGCTACTTTCAAAAATACAGTCTTAAAAATAAGACTTTTCTAACTTGAAGAGCGATCATTGACATATAAGATTGTGTCAGATCTACAACATTGCAGATTTGATATACATGTACAGTACAAAGATTCCCTCCATAACTTTAGCTAACCTTCCATCCTGTCTCATAATTACCATTCTAGTTTTTAGTGAAAACATTCAAAATCTGCTCTCTCAGCAACCTTCAAGTATAGTTAACCCTTGAACAAGATGGGTTGGAACTGCGCAAGTCCACTTAAATATTTTTTTTCCCCGATAATTACATGCTACAGTACTCCACCATCTGATGATGTTTGACTCTGTGGATGCAGAATAGCAGATACAAAGGGTGACTGTTAAGTTATATGCAGATTTTCAGCTGTGGGGAGAGTTGGGGTCCCTAACTCCTGCATTGTACAATGCTCAACTGCATATAAAACAGCACTAACTATAGTCCTTATTCTGTGCCTGTGATCTCAGAACTTATTTATCTTACAACTGGAAGTTTGTACCCTTTGACCAACATCTCCTCACTGCCCCTTCCCGGGCGTCTCCAGTCTCGAGGAACTGCCGTTCAACTCTGTTTCTGTGATGTGGTGTTTTAAAATCCCACACGTAAAAGACACCATTCAGCACTTGTCTCTCTCTGTCTGCCTTACTTCATTTAGCACAATGCATACACAGTCTACCCACATGTCACAAATGGCAGGATCTGCTTCTTTCTCCGGAATGACTGATATTCCATTGTACAGACATGCCACATTTCCTCTAACCATTCATTTGTTGTTTCCACGTCTTGGCTGTTGTGAATAATGCTGCGTTGAACAAGGAGCACAGGTATCTATTCCAGATCCTGTTTTCATTGCCTTTGGGTGTACACCCAGAATGGGATTCCCAATTCCTATGACAGTTCTGTTTTAAATTTGGGGGAAAACCGCCATACCACTTCTACGGCAGCTATACCAGTTTACATTCCCACCAACAGTGCACAAGTGCTCCTTCATCTCCAAACCTCCCCCCAAGCTTGTTAACCTCTTGTCTTTTTGACGATAAACATTCTGCTCTGTATGTGGCCTTGATTTGCATTTACCTGATAATTAGTGATATAAAGCACTTTTTCATTTATCTGTTGGTCATTTGTATATCTTCTTTGGAAAAATGTCTATTCAATTCCTCTGCCTATTTTAAGAGGATTATTTGGAACTGTTCTGAGAACTGTTCCCATTTTGACATTTCTTATAAGGCAAGCCTTTTAGTGATGAATTTGTTTAGTTTTTATTTGTTAGTGAAAGTCTGTCTTGTCTCTGAAGAACAAATTTGACTGGCTTAAAGTATTTTTGGTTGACAGTTTACTTCTTTCCACACTTTAAATATATTGCCATATTTTCTCCTGGCTTGCAAGGTCTCTGAGAAATCGACTGATAACCACCTTAAGGGTTTTCGACAATATTATTCTTCTGTATCTAAGTGAGGTCCTCTCTAAGTTTTTGGTGACCTATTAGCTTCTTAAACTTGTATATCGGAATTTCTTCCAATAACTAGGAAGTTCTTAGCCATTATTTCTTTAAATAAACTTTCTTCCCCCTTTCCCTCTCTTCTACTTCTGGAAACTTAATAAATTCACAAATTGGTTCTTTGAGGTATCCCATAGATAGGGGGTTTCATGAGATTGATTTAGGTGTATTCAAGGCATATGAGCTTCCCTGTGGCTCAGACGGTACAGAATCTTCCGGCGATGGGGGAGGCTCGAGTTCCATCCCCCCGGAGAAGGGAACGGCTACCCAGTCCAGTATTCTTGCCTGGGAAATCTCACGGACAGGAGCTTTGGCTGCCGTCCACGGGGTCACAGAGAGTCAGGCATGACTGAGTGACTTTGGGGCTCTCCAGGGTGCGCTGTGACCCCAGGCCTAGTGGTGTAGGGCGCGGAGTGCAGGGACGCCTGGCGGCACTGGCCTTCAGGGCTAGGGGGTAAGGTGTTTTCCACCCAGGCTACCGGGATCCACACTGACAACTGTGTGATCCTTGGCGAGCATTTCAGGGGGGTCGACAGTGGCTTCAAGGCTTTTGGGGTCCTCAGTGACGCCTCCAGGTCCAGTGGCCAGGGGCCAGGGCAGGCAGAAGTAGAGGCTGCAGTTGGCGGGGTGTTCAGACACAGCTGTGGGGGCCAGCTGCAGACTCCTGTGTGGCGGCTGGCCGTGTGCAAACAGGCACATGAGGCGGGGCCAGGACCCACTGCGGGCGCGCGGGCGCCATGGGGGCCTCGCTGTTGGCACTCAGCGCAGTGTTCACTGGGCCTTGCTGTGAGGGCGCAGCAATTGGAGACCGGGGATGGGGGCTCGGCCGGGGCGTGCCGGCGGGCAGCTGGGGGTCGGCGGCAGGTCAGGGCCGGGGTGCAGGCCCGATCCAGGCCCACAGACAGCTGTGGGGACCCTGGCTATGGGTGGGTTCTCTCGCGACTGCGCGGTCTGTCTCTCACTGGGCAAACGGCAGTGCCGGCCAGTGGCAGTCACCTGTGGAGTGGCGCGCAAGTACGCAGCTGGGGGGCCAGCCCACGTGTGCTCGGTGGTGGGTGTCAGCTTGTATTCACGCAGCTGCAGCGCTGACCGCGGGGTCAGCGATCCGGTTCCGGTGGGAGCTGGTCAGGGAGGGCGTGGGAAGGGTCTGGTGGCTGGCACAGAGCACGTAAATCCTGGTGGGGCTAAACTTGATGATATCTGCGGGTGGTACAATGCTGATTGTTGATTTCTGCAGGGGCAAAAACTGCTGGGTGTTCCTGCAGAGCAGGTCAGGGTGAACTGTGAATCACCCCATTACATGGCTGCTACTGGGAGCCCCTGCGTTTCGTTGTTTCTAACCACCTCCGTATATCTCAGTTTTGCCAGTGTGGGTGGGATAAGACCAGACTGGGACCTTGGCGTGGTGCCCTAGGCGGCTCGAGAAGCTGCTCCTTCGCCCCGTGCTTCCTCTCTTGGTGAGGGAGAGAGCGCTTTCTAGCTGGGGAGTTCCCTCTTGGCGCTGAGCAATGCTGGCTTGGTGAATGGGGTGATGCAGGTGAAATCGGACTGTCTTTGTTCTCTTTGGGGGCAGCTAGTCTCAATTTTTTTTTTTTTTTAAATTCTCCTGTGTTGCTGTACTTCAGGGCTCTCTCATAGCTTTTGTGTGTGTGTGTGGGTAGCAGGCACAATTGATCTAATTACTGATCTATCTAACTATTGATCTTTGTGAGGGACAGAGGCTGGAGTCTCCTATACTGACATTTTTGGTAGCATTACTCTTAAAAATAAAGTTTGATCAGAAGTAACCCTTGCTGAATAGGAAGTGCAGTTGTGTTGCATATTTTCCAGTTATAGGGAAGAAAGCTTTCTGATTCTGCACTAGGTGCAAAATCTTATCTATTCCTTTATCCTCCTGTGTCAGTTTTAATAATTTCACTAGTTATGCTTAAATGAGTATGCTTGTTTACTGACGGGATTGTTGTTGGTTTAACAATAGCATGATTTTTGTTTTTTGGCTGTTCTGTGCAGCATGTGGGATCTTAGTTCCCCAACCAGAGATGGAACACATGCCCCTCATCCAGCTCATGCCTCCTGCAGTGGAAGCATGGAGTCTTCACCAGACCACCAGAGAAGCCCTTGAGTATTTTTGAAAGAAAGCAAATCGATTTCATCATCTTTTTCTTGGTTTCACAATGTACAGAAGAATTGTCTGACCTGATGCCTATATCTGTTTCAATAAAGACATGTTCATCATCCACATAATCTAAACATCTTTGCCCTAAAGCAGGATTTATTCTTTTGGCCAAATATTTCACTTCTCAATTGTCACTTTACTGAGCTGGTAGGACTAGGTAAGTCGCAGTCCCAAGTCTGGCCATAGGTGCTAGCTTGGTTTTTGCTGTTTATTGACCACACTTAACGCAAGTGGATTGGGCAACACACGGAAGCTTCAGGGTTCTCAAGAGCAGCAGGAGACAGCAAGATTCAGTGCTCAGTCACTTTTCAAGATTCTTCATGTGTTTCTTGGAGGGGTGGAAAGTCATTTTAAATAGATTATTTTTGTTACTTTTGAAAATTTAAAGCAATAACTGAGTTGGAAGTAGTTTTGTTCAAGACATTTTTCATTATTTGAATAAGGGAGTCCTTGACTTGATCTCATAATGTAAATAGTCCTTCAATAAAATCAATACAACAAAAAATGCCAATATTTTAGTATTTTTAAAATATCATAATACAACAGAACACTGAGAAGTAGCATGGCAATCACTAAATAGATGCATTTTGGTTGATTCTCCTTTCCTGACCCAAACAGGAGATGACAGATGACCTTGATCACTACACCAATGCTTATCAAGTCTACTCCAAGGACCCTAAGAAGTGTCACGAATTCCTTGGCTCACCAGAAGTCATCAACTGGAAGCAACATCTGCAGATTCAAAGTAAGGGGCTAGGACGTGGGCTGGCTGCCAGACTCTCCACGTCGGATCTGCAGGGTCCCTTTACATCTGGAATAACACCCCTGTATCCTCTATAACAGGGTTCCTGGGTGGTTCAGAAGGTAAAGAATCTGCTTGCAATGCAGGAGACCTGGGTTTGATCCCTGGCTCGGGAAGATCCCCTGGAGAAGGGAATGGCAACCCACTCCAGTGTTCTTCCTGGACAATTCCAGGGACAGAGGAGTCTGGTGGGCTGCAGTCCATGGGGTCGCAAGAGTCTGACACGACTGAGTGACTAACATTCACTCACACACACACACTCACACACACACACACACGCCCCTTCTAGATCTCTATTGCAATCCCAGACACTCAGCCGGCTGTCCATTCATCAGCACCTCCAGAGCTGCCAGTTCACAGGGCTCTTGGGTAGCTTCCCAGGTGGAGTCTGAAAGCCACCCCCCTATGAACGCACGGCAGGGAGAGGCTGAGAAAGGGGCAGGCCACCCCAGACTGCTGGGTGGCAGGTTTACTAAGCAGGAGAACTTCCTTCCAGGCTTGTCTTGGGAGACTGCAGGACGAGGGAACCCCTGCATCTGCCTGCCAAAATCTTAAAAACGTATACAGTGGTCTTATCTGGGTTTAGTCACGTGCCCAGTCCAGATGTGTGAACACCACATTCCTATCTCAGGGCTGTGTCCTTGGAGCAGCTTCTGGAAGGCAAGTGGAACACTCGTTTCAAGGACAGGAGAGGGAGGGGGAAGCCTCCAGTTGCCTTCCGAGTCAACAGGCAGCATGTCTTTCTGACGACCTCCTTCAACAATAGTGAATTAAAACTTAAAGACTGCCACGTATGGGGTTTACACAGAGAATCATGAGCAATAGAGTTTCTTAATAGTTAAAATTCACAGCTACCTGATTCGACTCATTGGAATTAAGACCTGATGCTGGGAAAGACTGAAGGCAAAAGGAGAAGACAGTGGCAGAGGATGAGATGGTTAGAAAGCACCACCAACTCAATGGACATGGATTTGAGTAAACTCTGGGAGATAGTGGAGGACAGAGGAGCCTGGCGTGCTGCAGTCCATGGGTCATAAAGAGGCAGACACGACTTAGCGACTGAAAAACAACAAAAATTCATGGTTTATTCCAGGATCGATGATATGGGAGCAGAGCTTCCATTCTGCCTCACATCCACTGTGTCAATATATCATACTTACAGAGGAGGAATTTAGTGATTACAAATATCCTTGGGAATTCCCTGGCAGTCAGTGGTTAGGACTCTATGCCCTCACTGCCAGGGACCCAGGTTCGATCCCTGGTGAGGGAATTAAGATCCCACAAGCCTTACAGTGTATCAAAAAAAAAAAAAGTCTGTTCTCTGAAGTCAGACTACCTGAAGCTGTGACCTTATTAGGCCTGTTAGTAGTTGTGTGGTCTAAGACAAGGAATAAGAGCTCTGTGGACCAGCCTTCTGATGAGTAAAAATAGCAATTATAATAGTACCCAAAACATTAGGCTATTTAAAGATTAAGTGAGACCTTGAATGAGAAATGCTTGGCCCTACGCCTGGTTTTATCAGTCAGGTTATGAAACCACCCCAAAATAGTGACTGCAAAACACAATTGTTTATTAGCTCCAATTTTGTGGGTCAGCACTTTGTACAAGACACAGCTGGATGATTCTTCCACTGGTCTGTCCTGGATTCACCCGTGTGACTTCAGTCAGCTGGGGGTTGTCCATGAACTGGCAGGACTAAGTTAGCCACCATCTAGAGGCTGGCTGTCAACGCTGCCTTCATCTGTTCTGGCTACTGGCTGTGCCGATGAAGCGGCTTGGGTGATACACAGATGTCACCCAAGGTTCTTAAGAGCAGAGACAAAAGGCAAACTTCATATATAGTCACTTTTCAAGCTTCTTACTCATTCACATTTGCTATTGTTCCATTGGCCAAAGCAAGTTCCATGGTCAATCCTGGAAGGCAGTTCAGGAGAAAAAAGTCTGGATAGCAAAGAAGGAAAAACTGGGACCATTATAGCAACAACCTATAGCATAGAATGTTAAATAAATTCAATGAATGTTGGTTATCATCTTCACCGCATCTCCTTTGATGAGCATACCTGTCCTGTGCTGTGTTCAGGAATCGCGGCGTTGTCCCGAGTTTGATGTTTTAAGCTGGAGTTTAGTTGGTTGCACGGCGGTGTCAGGCTCTGTGGCACAGCAAAGTGAATCGGCCAGGTGCACGCACACGTATCGCCCCTGCTTTGGATTTCCTTTCCGTGTAGATCACCACGGGGCACTGAGTAGTTTCCCGTGCTCTATGGTAGGCTCTCATTGGTCATCTATCGTAAACAGCGGACAAAATGGCAATCCCCATCCTCCACTTTGACCCTTGGAGTCTATATGTTTGTTCTCTATGTCTGTGTCTCTATTTCAGCTTTACAAATGAATTTCTTTTAAATATGAGAGTGATTTAGAGGTCTTTTCATGATGGAACACGAGTTTTAATCATTCAAAACCCACAAACTTCGCAGTCATCGGACGGCTTTTTCCTGACATTTAAATGAACAATGATATCTCATATGATTCTTCACTTCCTCCATCTAGGTACACAGTCCAGCTTGGATGATGTGATAAAAAATCTTGCAGCTATCAAATTGGGCAAGGTCAACCAAACACAATGCTTTCTCTATATGGCCTCTGAGGCAGGAAAGAAATTGGTTACTTCTCTGGTGGAGGAAAAGAGTTTATCAGTCAATGGTGATAAACCCAAATCCGGGTAAGTCTGATAGAATCTGCTCTGGGGAATTTCCAGGCGGTCCAGCGGTTAGGACTCTGCACTTTCACTGCCTGCCGATGTTTAATCCCTCTAACCCTAACTAATTAAGACCTCACCCACAAGCCACTGGCAGGATAAAACAAAACCAAACCAAAAATGTCATATCTGTCGCCACTGAAGTAGCCAGTGCATTAGCCTCTTAGGACAGTCACAAAAAGACTCAACAAACTGGAGTGGATTTAAACAGCAGAAATGTATTCTCCCGGTTGTAGAGGTCAGGAGTTGGCAAACCTATGTTCCCTCCAAAGGCCCTAGGAGAGAATCCGGCGTGGCTTCTTCCACATTCTGGCGGCTCTGCAGATTCCTTGACTTGTGGCTTTTTTTTTTCCATGCTATTTTTTTTTCATTTATTTTTATTAGTAGGAGGCTAATTACTTTACAATATTGTAGTGGTTTTTGCCATACATTGACTTGTGACTTTGATACTGACCAGGGTGCTTGGCCTTCTCCAAGCAACAGACACTGATTAGAAGCCCAACAAGAAATTCAGGCAAAGCTTCACTGATGCCCCTGCTGCAGCAGGCGGGGGTGAAGATAAGCAAGGGTTTCCCTTGCTTGCTTGCTGAGGGTGGGGAGCTGGTTCCTTATACGGGATGAGGGTAGCAGTGTGTCCAGGGGTCAGATGGGCAGCTCAAGCTCAAAAGACACAACTTCTCACTGGTTCTCAGGGAAGGGCTTTAGGCAGCGTGAGCCCGGGGGCTGCTCACCGTGTGCGCAGTTCTCTGCTGCCGTCAGGTGAGGCCACGAGCAAAATCAACCTTCTGGCTTTGACCAGTCTGGGGTCTATGTTCTTGCGGTCAGAAGTTTCATCTGGAGGGGGTCTGTTCCCTGTAAAACAGCTTAGGAGTGTGTGTCAGGCCTTTATCTGTATGTCACTTCCCTGATCCGGCCATGTGGCCAGTCTGTAGTCTAAACTCTCAACAGTTTCTAAGTCAACAGCTGTTCTGTTTCTATAGCTGCACAGATCCTAATCATTAACTCTTTTTAATTTTTTTTAATTTTTAAAATTATGACAGTTATGATGACACATTTATAGCGGACTTGGAAAGTACACAACAAAGTTACCTATGGTTTCACTATATAGTACAAGTATTTTTTTTTAAGTAGATAAACTAAGATTTTTTGTTGGAGTTTCAACATCAAACTCTCAAAAATTAATAGAATGAATAGACACAAAATTAGAAGGATATAGTACACCTGAAAATCACTATAAACCAGTTCAACATAATTAAGATTGATACAATTTTCACACATACAAATTTTATCCAAGTTCCTATAGACTATAAACGAGGAGACAGTGGGACATATCCAGGGACACACAATAAGGTGAGAAAGTCTCATGGTCTAAAGGTGTTGAAATCACACGGGGTCTGTTCTCTTCTCACTGTGGAATTATATTCAAAATCAATATCGAAAGAAATTTGAAAATAACCCACATGTTTTCAAATGCCGTGGGACATTTACTCAGAGAGATCTTTGACTTAGCCATTGAAAGCCTCAAGAAGGTTAAAAGGCTGAAAAAACAGAGAAGGTGATTGAGGAGAAGAAAGCATTTAAATGAGAAATTAATATCAATATAAGAAATTAATATCAAGGATAATTTAAAAAACCCATGTATTTAGAAATTAAATGTCCACTTTTATATGATGAGTGTATCTAAGAAACCATGACAAGGAAAATTAGAAAATATTACTAAAAGAATAAAAAGGGAATTTATCAGAATTCATTGTATGCAGCTGAAGCTACCCAATGCAACTAAACACAATGTGGACTCTTGAATAAGGTATGAAAATAAATAATAGACACTAGCATAAAATTTTGTGAAATTTGAATAAAATCTATACTTTAATAACCATTTCATGGGAAATAGATGGGGAAACAGTGTAAACAGTGTCAGACTTTATTTTTTGGGGCTCTAAAATCACTGCAGATGGTGATTGCAGCCATGAAATTAAAAGATGCTTACTCCTTGGAAGGAATGCTATGACCAACCTAGACAGCATATGAAAAAGCAGAGATATTACTTTGCCAACAAAGGTCTGTCTAGTCAAGGCTATGGTTTTTCCAGTGGTCATGTATGGATGTGAGAGTTGGACCATAAAGAAAGCTGAGCACTAAAGAATTGATGCTTTTGTTTTGTTTTGTTCTCCATTTATTTTTATTAGTTGGAGGCCGATTACTTTACAATATTGTAGTGGTTTTTGTCATACATTGACATGAATCAGCCATGGATTTACATGTATTCCCCATCCCGGTCCCCCCTCCCACCTCCCTCTCCGCCCCATCCCTCTGGGTCTTCCCAGCGCACCAGGCCCGAGCATTTGTCTCATGCATCCAACCGGGGCTGGGGATCTGTTTCACCCTTGATAATATACATGTTTCGATGCTATTCTCTCGAAAGATCCCATCCTCGCCTTCTCCCATAGAGTCCAAAAGTCTGTTCTGTACATCTGTGTCTCTTTTTCTGTTTTGCATATAGGGTTATTGTTACCATCTTTCTAAATTCCATATATATGTGTTAGTATACTGTAATGGTCTTTATCTTTCTGGCTTACTTCACTCTGTATAATGGGCTCCAGTTTCATCCATCTCATTAGAACTGATTCAAATGAATTCTTTTTAATGGCTGAGTAATATTCCATGGTGTGTGTATATGTACCACAGCTTCCTTATCCATTAGTCTGCTGATGGGCATCTAGGTTGCTTCCATGTCCTGGCTATTATAAACAGTGCTGCGATGAACACTGGGGTGCACGTGTCTCTTTCATATCTGGTTTCCTCGGTGTGTATGCCCAGAAGTGGGATTGCTGAGTCATACGGCAGTTCTATTTCCAGTTTTTTAAGGAATCTCCACACTGTTCTCCATAGCAGCTGTACTAGTTTGCATTCCCACCCACAGTGTAAGAGGGTTCCCTTTTCTCCACACCCCTCTCCAGCATTTATTGCTTGTAGACTTTTGGATAGCAGTTGAGCTGGAGGAGTTACTTGTATATTTTTGAGATTAATCCTTTGTTTGTTGCTTCATTTGCTATTATTTTCTCCCAATCTGAGGGCTGTCTTTTCACCTTGCTTATAGTTTCCTTTGTTGTGCAAAAGCTTTTAAGTTTCATTAGGTCCCATTTGTTTATTTTTGCTTTTGTTTCTAATATTCTGGGAGGTGGGTCATAGAGGATCCTGCTGTGATTTATGTCGGAGAGTGTTTTGCCTATGTTCTCCTCTAGGAGTTTTATAGTTTCTGGTCTTACATTTAGATCTTTAATCCATTTTGAGTTTATTTTTGTGTATGGTGTTAAAAAGTGTTCTAGTTTCATTCTTTTACAAGTGGTTGACCAATTTTCCCAGCTCCACTTGTGAAAGAGGCTGTCTTTTTTCCATTGTATATCCTTGCCTCCTTTGTCGAAGATAAGGTGTCCATAGGTGTGTGGATTTATCTCTGGGCTTTCTATTATGTTCCATTGATCTATATTTCTGTCTTTGTGCCAGTACCACACTGTCTTGATGACTGTGGCTTTGTAGTAGAGCCTGAAGTCAGGCAGGTTGATTCCTCCAGTTCCATTCTCCTTTCTCAAGATTACCAGAGAGTCCCAAACAGGATAAACCCAAGGTGAAACACTCCAAGACACATATTAATCAAATTAACAAAGATCAAACACAAAGAACAAATATTAAAAGCAGCAAGGGAGAAACAACAAATAACACACAAAGGGATTCCCATAAGGATAACAGCTGATCTATCAATAGAAACCCTTCAGGTCAGAAGGGAATGGCAGGACATACTTCAAGTAATGAAAGAGAATGACCTACAACCTAGATTACTGTACCCAGCAAGGATCTCATTCAGATATGAAGGAGAAATTGAAAGCTTTACAGACAAGCAAAAGCTGAGAGAATTCAGCACCACCAAACAAATGCTAAAGGATCTTCTCTAGACAGGAAACACAGAAAGGTTGTATAAACGTGAACCCAAAACAACAAAGTAAATGGCAACAGGACCATACCTATCAATAATTACCTTAAATGTAAATGGGTTGAATGCCCCAACCAAAAGACAAAGGCTGGCTGAATGGATACAAAAGCAAGACCCCTATATATGCTGTCTACAAGAGACCCACCTCAAAGCAAGGGACACATACAGACTAAAAGTGAAGGGCTGGAAAAAAATATTTCACGCAAACGGAGACCAAAAGAAAGCAGGAGTCGCAATACTCATATCAGATAAAATAGACTTTCAAATAAAGGCTGTGAAAAGAGACAAAGAAGGACACTACATAATGATCAAAGGATCAATCCAAGAAGATATAACAATTATAAATATATATGCACCCAACATAGGAGCACCGCTCCTATGTGTTAACAGTAACACAATAATAGTGGGAGACTTGAATACCCCACTCACAACTATGGATAGATCAACTAAACAGAAAATTAACAAGGAAACACAAACTTTAAATGACACAATGGACCAGCTAGACCTAATTGATATCTATAAGACATTTCACCCCAAAACAATCAACTTCACCTTTTTCTCAAGTGCACACGGAACCTTCTCCAGAATAGATCACATCCTGGGCCATAAATCTAGCCTTGGTAAATTCAAAAAAACTGAAATCATTCCAGTTATCTTTTCTGACCACAGTGCAGTAAGATTAGATCTCAATTACAGGAAAAAAATTATTAAAAATAGAAACATATGGAGGCTAAATAACACGCTTCTGAATAACCAACAAATCATAGAAGAAATCAAAGAAGAATTGATGCTTTTGAATAGTGGTGTTGGAGGAGACTCTTGAGAGTCCCTTGGACTGCAGGAGATCCAGCCAGTCCATCCTAAAGGAGATCAGTCCTGGGTGTTCATTGGAAGGACTGATGTTGAAGCTGAAACTCCAGTACTTTGGCCACCTCATGCGAAGAACTGTCTCACTAGAAAAGACCCTGATGCT